CTTCCATTCAGTCAGCCAGGGAAGAGGTTTCTTGCATTCACATGGAGGTGGTGGATGTGTCAGAAGAGAAACAGTGGTGGGAAGGGAGAAATGCTCTCCACAGTACAAGCCTTGCAAGGCAGGCCAGCCCCACCCCATGAACAAGGGGTATCCACATCCCTTGACGTGGCTTCTCCCAGTGGTTTTTGATTTTGCAAACACAACACAAAGGTTAGGCACACAGTCAGGGTGCATACTGTTTTCACAGTGTCCCAAATTGCCCTGTGACTGGCAGAAGGCCAGAGTTGTAAAGTTCAAGACAAGGCTGTATTTATGCAAGGGGAAGGAGGAGACCCTATGAAGGCAACTATACTGGATCTTGTACTTCTGTCCTGAAAAGAACCTAGGTATTAAAAATCTTGGTAAAAAAACCGCCAATAGTGAGTAGACATCGTTTACCCTGAAGAGTTCTGAGCGAGGCTGATGAATTGTAAGAATCACAATCCTGCCTCTGTGTGCAAGCTGGGAGAGAAGTAAGACAAGCTGGTTTGCAGTCAGGCAGTCCAGCCCTGTCGTTGGCTCATCAAGTAGCATGACCTCTGTCAAATGACAAGGAATAGCTTTAAAATTCAGGTAAATGAGGAAGAAGTGATACAGCTTCTGCCTTTTTAAAAAAAAGCAAACAATACAGAAATTACTTTACATGTGAAGTTCCACATGTAAAGTAGAGTATGAATGGATCACCATGATGGGATCTTTCAGTTTAAGTTAGTTTCAGTGGTTCAGTTACAATGATTAGGAATAAGGACATAAAAAACTAGTGCAGGATCAAAGCATAATCATTTTTTTCTAAATTCAGGTAAAATGTGAAAATTACCAAAATAGAACTGATGTATACATCTGCTTCTAAGAACAATAATGATAAATTTCAGCATGTATGTAAATGTAAATATAACTGACAAAATTAGCAAGAAGTTATAATCTGAATTAAATCTATATATACACACAGAATTTGTCATGAACAAACCAAGAGTTGTTAAAATACAGCATTTCTAATTCCCTAAATGGGAGCTGGAGGGGGATTACTGCATTTTCTTCATTATTTTATTGCAAATGGAAAGGAAAAATTATAGTCAAATCCATTATCTTTGTATAGATGAGACATAGCACAGAAGAGGGCAGTCCAGCCTTGATCGGGGTAAGAAGGGATTTATCACTATAGGTTTATCTACACAATTACTATAGTGTTTACTATAGAGTTTAGTGACTTTCTGAGCAATAACTACACCCAGTGAACTCCCCAGAAGTCACAGGCAGCAGTGATACATCTTACTTTACTATTTAAGTGCTCCTTCCTGCCTGATATGCAGTTCTAGCATATCTGCATTGCTACAATAACTCCAGCATACAACAGATGCCTGCTGTACATTTACTCCATAAGATTATGGCAACTTCAAGAAACTATCTCAAAATTGACGTAATTTACAGTGATTTTTTTCCCCCTGGATAATCCTTCTATTGTCATTTTGCTTTGATTTTCACTCAGTGGAATATTTTTGGCTCTAGAACATATGTGGTGCTCATGCATTCACAGCTCAGTGGCATGGACTCCACTGCAAGGCTCAATGCTTGCATATATATGGTTCCAATGTGCTCAAAAATTATGAATTAATGGGTCACCCAACCAACATGTGAGCCCAGTAAGACTTGAAATGGATAAAATGCAAATCTAAACCTATATGCTCAATCCCTAAGGTTTTTTAATTGTCTGCTTTCCAAGATCAGCTAACAGATTAATGGTAGACTCCAGTTACTATTTTACCCTTTTCTGTTATTATAAGATAACTTTTGCTGAATTACAGGATGTAAATGCTTTTGTATTTTAAAGTGTTTTATGGAAGCCTATGGTAGGAGTACAAAGAAACACAGTTTTATTTTGAAAATCCATGCAGTGGTACTTACTGGGATCTTGTAATAGCTGGGCTGCAACTGATACCCGACGCCTCTCACCCCCAGAAATTCCTACGACATTACGGTTTCCGATTATTTTGTCAGCCATGTGGCTGAGACTCAGCTCAGTCATGACTGCATCTACCTGAAAAATAATTACAATTTTAAAAGACTAAACACAGTCCAACTCAGATACCTGTGTGCAATGGTAAAAAGCAGGGAAGAAAAAGACATAATTTTAAAATATAGCTTTCCCAATATCCTGTTTGCATCCATTCTAGTTGGAGGGTATACGGCCTCATTTCTACTTGATTATTTTTCATATATTATTTAAATTATTTTTTAAAATTTTATTTTCATGTATTCTGAAGTGAGTAAAGTTTTGCTTCAGTTGACATTAAGAGATGAAGAGTTCAGAGGTGGGACTAGAAGTTAAGGTATCAGGTATAATGTGCTAGTCTGGCTTCCAAAACTGGGGAGTAGGAAGGCATATCCATCCTGAGTGGAAGATCGGTGAAGAGAAGAGACAAAGAACAAGAGCCTTTGGTCAGGAATATCCAATCTTTACGTTCAAAAGGGTCCTCTAAATAAATCTGAAACATACCTATTTTATCAAGAAAATAGCTTGTAGGGGGCTTAGTAGACCAGTGCTTTTTGGAGCTGTTCTGGTTGGTGAGAGATGTCCTACAGGAGCCAGAGCAGTGTCAAAATCACTTCTGCTGTCCATGAGACTTGCCAGCACACATGGCAAGAACTGGCTTTACCAGCTGGGAAGGGGGAACTGACCTCAAAGCCAACATCAGCATCTCCTGCAGCAGTAACTGCTGCAGCTTTGGGTGGAGGGTTTTATCCCAGCATAATGGTGACTCTCTGGGATGTCAGCACAAGCCCCTTGCACAGGGGGGGGAGCACCAGAGAGCTTGGGTCCTACTCCTCAGCAGGAGGATTTCTCCCCATTTGCAGAATGAGGATTACAAAACCTCATAAACATAAAACACAGCCATGGATGGAAAGTGGTGCTGGTGAAAGCATTACATGACATCATGTCTACCTTTCTGGTGGAAGACGATAAAGTACAGACCTTCTTTTTGATGAAGTTGTTGGAGCATTTCTTAAGAGTTAGCAAAGCTGTGTAAGTCAAAGACTCTTGTACAGTGAGAAAGCTTAACAAAGTGTCACTCTGAAAAACACGGAAAGAAAAAGAAGCAGTTAATCCTGTAGTAATTTCTTATCTTGTCACTCCTCATGCAAGTTTAGTTAATACATGCAGTTTAATAACTGATTTGTCCCAAATTTACTTATAAAATCACAGTCAGATTGCATTACTGCATTACTTTTCTTCACACGAAAGGAAGAACTGTACACAAAAAATAAATGTAGAAATCAACCTGTGGTACATAAGAGAAGCAATCTCTAAACTGTTCCTTCTTCAGCTGACGTCCATTCACATACACTTCACCAAAGAAGTTGTCTTTATGTGTCAGTCTTCCTGATATTGCATCCAGAAGTGTTGTTTTCCCAGAGCCTTTCAAACAAAAGAAATGAATCAGGTGATGAGAGGAATGTTACAATTCCAAGAGAGGTAGCGTGATTTGAATGGAGACATATGAAAAGAAGCAAGACTTTTTTTCTCAGTAACATTAAAATAATAGTCCTGAATATGCAGCTAGTTAAGGGGAAAAAAATTGGAAACCAAGAATGTAAGTTAGCGTTCACTTCATACAAATTCACACTTTGCAGTGGAACATTTGAGTTTAGAACTAACCTTTTCTGTTACTGAAGTTATAATTGTTAGTTAGATGACAGAAGATTGAACTCTGAAAACCAAGCAACAGAGTTTTACAAAGCAGAAGTTAAAATGAGCCGCAATTTCATTATTTAAAACACAGATCTCAGTCACATTCAGATCACTGTGAAAGTAACCAGTATTAACTCCAGTCTTATTTCTTTTAAAGTTCTGGAACAACTTACCAGAATTTCCTAAAATCCCCATAATCTGGCCACTCTCTATGTGAAAAGAAACATCCTTAAGTATTTGCCGGGTCCATTTTTTACAATATAAAGAAAAGTTCCACCATGGGCCAACACGTTCTCTTGAAAACAAACATCAATAAAAATTAAATAGAGAATATTTAAAAATCTAGCATAAAGCAAGTGAATGGTTTATAGCTACTTGCATGTGAGATGGGAGCCTGCAAGGATTTAAAGATATGGAAAAATAAAAATCAAATCATTTTCTCCCTTCCCCTCCCCAGGCTTTAACTTTCTAATTTCAGCATTACCTGCAAGATAAAATGAAGTCTGAACACATTTTCCAGAATAATTGCTAAGAGGCTTTTGGACTACAACCAAAGGGGTAAACTTGAACTGTGGCTTTATTTATTGACGATGTTTGCCAGCAACTAATCCACCTGGCCATATTCTTAGGGCCTATGTTATCCTTCTGGCAGCAGCAAGAAGGGCAGTGGGAAAGGGCAGAATCTTTGGAAATCTCCTCTAACACACGTCCTCCAGAGACATCTGAGGGAGAATGGGTGAGCCCCCCAGAGGACAGGCTGGCTGTGCCTCTCTCAGGTCATGAGCTCTGCTCCTGTGGCAGACGTCCCAGTGCCATGAGGTGGGCAGCCTGGAAACATCCCTCCCTCTCGGACTGGGCTGAAGCCAAACCCACAGACCGCCAGTGCCAGCCCCGCTTCCCGCAGTCCCTGGGGTTGGAGCAGCTCTTGGCAGGCAGGAGCCCTCCGTACTGCCCTCCCCAGCCCTACCTGATGGTGTAGGAGACACCCTGGACACTGATGCTGTCGGACGGTTGTACCCCAGACTTCGCCTCGCCTGTCTGCCCAATGATGCTGCTCTTTTCCAGGGCAGGAGACACTCTGCCCAACATCCTCAGGTGCTGGGGCTCCATAGCCTCCTTTCCTCAAGCCTCTGGCCAGGTGCCTGGCGCTGCCACCACCATGCCTCCAGCAGCGCCAGGCAGGGGCAGCCCCCTCTGTCCCAGGGTCACAGCAGGTCGCTGCCCCCAGCACTTGCCACGTCAAAGAAACCAGAGGGGCTCCTGGTCCTTTCTTTTTCCTGTGAACAAGTGATCAGCGATTAGCTGAAGCCGCTATCTGATGTACCTTTAGCCCGAGCTGTTACTGTCCCAGAGGAGGGGAATATTTCCCTGTCCACGGGGTCACGCCAGCTGCAGACACACAGCACACCAGGAGATATGGTGCTGCGGTGAAGGTGCCTGGAAAGGACCGAGTTCCAAACCAAGAGGAGAAGGATTTCTTTCAAAGGGAAGAGTCAAACCACTGCAAGGAGTGAGACCTTCCACCACCATGATGAAGGAAACCACCGAAAATGTCTCTCTGGACGATGCCGGCTGGAGCCAGGTGACATGCGAGGGCTTGCCAGTGAGTGAGACCTACAGGGAGTGGGGAGGGACCTGATGGGCTCAGCTGTTCTGCAGCTACAGCGCTTGCTGGGAGCTGGGAGAGGCGGGCAGGCAGCCTTCCCACAGGGCTTTCACAGCTGGTGAGCCCTCAAGTCCTCCAGCTCTGAAATGGGGAGCTGAAAGTGTCCACACCCTCCACCAGAGCACACGGGGGATGAGGCCAGTGCTCAGATGCCACAGCGGTGGAGAGGCTGAGAGAGGTGATCTCCAAATATGTGGATGGAGGAGAAAGCCCCTGAGCATGGCCTGGACTGGTTTTGCCAGGACATGCATTCAGACTGATACCCACATTCGCCGGGGAGCACTTGTTTTTAAAAATCAGGTTCAACACAAACAAGAGCACCGAGTGCTTTGGCAGCAGCGGGAGTTTGGAGGGCTTTCATGTGGCTTTTCAGGCTGCCTGGTGTGACATTGCTTTCTGCTGTGTATCTAGACTGAAAAGATTAATCAGCCCTGTTTGCTGTGAGGGTAGGTGGTGCACAATAGGATCGTGGTCACCAGCTGCCAAAGATACCACAGGCATAGATAGGGTCTGCTAAAGAGGGAACAGGTGCGTTTGCATTGGCAAGGAAATGAGTCTGACCCGTAAGAAAAGCACAGGGCTGTGGTAGAGATATGGCTGTCTGGTGTAAAATCTGCAGGCATGCACACGGAGTTGAACCCAAATTCAGAAAGCTGCCTCAGCAACGAGTTCATAATCGCAGCTGTATGCAAAAGGTTAACCAAGCCAAGTAGAGACTCTTGTTATTTTAACTGATACCTCAGAACACTAAGTTTCACAGTTGACAAACTGTAAATTTAAAAAACAAAAGAGGAGAAATATATATATATTATATAATATATACTTGTGGTTGCATACCCACTTGTTCACAAATTCTCCAAGTTAAGGAGTCCATGTGAAATTCAATAACAGACATACTTCCAGTGAATCTTAATTTTTAGCTGCCATAACTTATGAATTACTATATGCACCATTTTGATCAAGTAGACTAACACTGCTGAAGCACTATTTCTTTCTTCCTCAAAAAAAAAAAAAAAAAAAAAGAGTCTAATCTCTTTATAGTGGCATGACATTTATCTCCATTTTGAGTGACCACTTTTAAACTTACAGCAACTAGAAAAGCCCAGCACAGCATGTTTGGCCCTCATACATGTCACTAGAACAAAGTACATTTCACACTGATTAACAGATAACAGATAACTTATTTCAACCCCTCAGACTTTTGCACTACAGTAATTTATCAATAATATTGTTATATCTTCTAAATATATTTACCTTTGTGCTTCGTCTTTTCTGAACTCTGATTTTAACAGTACTTTAGTTATTGTAATTAACTGTTGTAATTCACCCAACAACTTTTCCAGACCAAGACCCAGGACACTATTTTTATCTCTGAAGACGATAACAGTCTGTATTTCACATACAGTGGAAAATCAAATGTTCTTGAGGTCAAAGAACTCAACTACCAGGTAAGAATTGTCATTGAAATACCTCCCTTCAGCAGGAAGCATATCCAGCAATGCCTGTTTCTATACACAAGCCATTTGAAAAGTCAAACAAAGTCGAAAAAGTTCACACAACTCATGCACAGTCAAATACATGGTTTTGTGAGTAGAATCATACTCTTGGCTGCAATACTGACAACAGACTAACCCCTCCACTGTAAATATATTTAGTAAAGCTAGGGGGTAAGACAGGAAGAAAGATCTGTTTCTAAGCTCTGCTTTTTATCAGTCTTGAGCAAAATTATTCCTCTGAGGGTTGGGGCAGAGGGACTTTCTGTTGGGATAGGGACGCTGGGAGCCCTTGCTGGCAAAAATGAGTATGTGGAAAGAGATAAGGAGAGGATGACTAATAAGGAGGATTTCAAGGGACCGTGAAATTTTTCATCTCCTTTGTGCCACCATGGCATCTGAAGTAGATTTCACAATTTTCAGTTTAATGGAATTTCAAATTATATTAAAATTTTTTAACATTTAAAATTTACAATAGCAATACATTTCTAAAGTAACAGAGGACAGAGAGATTTAGTGGTTAACAGAACGAGAAGCAAAACACAAACCCCATAGATGGCTGCAGAACTTCTTTCCATGTATTTCTGAAGATTAACAATAATATTCTTTGCTTGTAGCATCATAACTTTGAAGATATTTGTTGCTAAATAGTTTATTGCTTGAAGGGACTTGTTTATTTCTTTGTTAGGTTAACGCAGCATCCCAGATTCCCTGGTATGAAAACCTTGCACAGATGAAAATGCCCTGGACCTGGAAATCAGATCCCCGTTCTCGTGTGTCAATAATCCAGAATCTGAATTTAAAAGTTCGAAGTGGTCAGATGCTGGCTATTATAGGAAGCACTGGTAAGAGCAAACAAATTTCAGGATATGATCAACTCTCAGATAAAATGTACACAGCCAAGAGCAACACTCTGCAGTCTTTTTAATGTCAAAATCTAGTTGAGAAAAAAACTATTGGCAATGTGTCACTTAAATACAATCTTTAAGTGACATGATCTTTGATGAAACAAAGAATGATATTGGGGGGGAGGGTGGGCATAAAATTGATTTTCAAACCTTATTTTGTTACGCCTTGCACACACTTGCTATTTGTTTCCTGAGGTGTAGTGGGGTATTGTTATAGTTGTGGCCTTGCAGCCCCAGATCTGCTGCACATGAATCAGCTTCATGGCTCAGATTCAAACCAGGCCAACTGCAGACTTACCCAGAAAACATAGCAGACAAATGAGGACAGACCCCATCAGAAAGATTGCCAGCTTGCATAGCCATAAGCAGAAATTCCCTTTGGATCGAAACAATTCTAACAGGACAAAATACTGCATTTGGGTTAAATAAGAGAAACTTACACAGAAGAAAAGACAGTTCCACCTCTGTTTGGGGTCACTGCTTTGCAACGTCTTCTTCTTTTCTTCTTTCATTTTGTGGTGGGACTGGTCTAACCTTCCCCACAGTGAGGTCATCTAATGGAGCTAAGCTCATCTAGGAAGATAAGAAGTAGACACATGATTGTGTTAAATTGAAGTAAAAATTACTTTACTTTGGAAGGAAAAACCTCCATGCTGTGTGTCCACTAGACTCTTATATATCTCAGTGATTCAGTGAAGATGCTCTCTCTCAAAGACAAGGTATATTTGCCAAAAAGTTTTAACTTTATTTCTACAAAAAGCGGTGTTTCTTCCTTATTGCCATGGGATTTTTTTCTTAGTATATATCCTTAATGTAATTGAAGCTGTACCTTAGAGATTCTCCCAAAAATAAAAGGAAAAGCTTGTGATGAAATAACATACAAAGTTATAGATATAGCACCTTTGTAAGATAACATACACTGAGCACAAACCCCTTTCAGCAGACTAGTCAAACTATTTTCAAAAGCTGTTTATCATTTATTTCATCAAATGCCTTAACAAAATGGATTAAACTGCTGATGGGTTTCACATTGTCAATGGCAATCAATATGTCACTCTTAAACAGAGCGATACGTGGTTTACAGATGGATGGGTTTCTTTTTTTAAAATATATGTATTAAGAAACAAATGTGGAGTTAATCTTTCAAGAGGGAGACTAGAAATAAATGACATTTAATCATAATAAGAGAGCTCTGTGTGTTTACATACAGTATCATACAGCAAAAAGGAAAAATTCATTTGCTATTTAACTCCAAATCAGGTTTTGTTTTCATTGTTTTACTTTTCCTACCTCTGGTTATGAGCAATCTTTTCTTAATTATTTAACTGTCTTTTTGTCTTATTTAAGTCATAATAATTCTTATTTCAATCATGATTAAGGTTCTTATTGTCTATATAATCATTCAACACCTTAGTCGTTCAGCTGATCCAGCTGATGTATCTGAATTCACAAATCCCTCCACAAAGAAAGCTCTTGCTCAGGATTTGGGTGTCAGCCTTGCAGCCAGGGCAAGACACCACCTGTCACCTATGTTTCAAAAGTGAAAGAGAGGTAACCAAAATGATCTTGCTTCTTGTGTTCATGGAGCTACCCTCAGTGCCCAACCTCCCAGTTCTGCTGAGAAATGACAAGGGTTAAAGCCCCATACTCCATTCCAGAGGGGAGAGGTTTCCTGAACATGAGCTCATAGTCAGTATTTTCTTTGAAGACCATTTGAAAGCCACTCTGTGGCTTTGGAAAAACTGCAGGGAGTGTTGTGTAAGAGACACTAAGGAACAAAAATTTCTGTCCTCTGTCTGTGACAAGACCACTTTTCAAAATGATCCCTTGGAAATTAATTTAACGTTCAACTTTGACTTTTCTAGCTGGTGGAAAGACATCCTTGCTTGACGTGATAACCTGCCGGGATCATGGAGGCAAAATCAAGTCTGGTCAAATCCTGATCAACAACAAACCCAGCACTCCCCAGCTTGTTAGGAAATGCATAGCACATGTGCGGCAGGATGACCGACTGCTCCCCCACCTGACTGTCAGAGAAACACTATTGTTCGTTGCCAAACTGCGCCTTCCGAAGTTTTTTTCAGACTCACAAAGGAAAAAAAGGGTAATTAAGCTGTTGGAAAAAAGTAAAGTTGTCAAAAATGTGTCTGACAGGAATTATCCAAGAGATCCTGCGTGTTTGGAGTCAGAACAGCTAATCTGGTATTTTTTTATGTAGATTATGAATTATAAACCTTTTTCATCTTTCAAGATAGAAACCAGCAATTGTTCCGAAGCTCATAAAAAATGACAATCTAGAGAAAGCATTACAGAGGCTGAAAGACGAACTCAATTTTTGATCTCTGAGTCTTTTTTAATGTTATCTCTAAAATCAAGAGTGTCTCTTGATCAGATAAGCTCTGAAATATCCAGACGAATTTTAACCAGTTTTATCTATGCACAAATGTCCAAATGAACACTTGCTTTCTCTCTGTTTCCCTTCGGATCCCCCAGGTAGAAGATGTTATAGCAGAGCTGCGTTTGCGCCAGTGTGCAAACACCAGGGTAGGGAACGAGTTCCTCCGTGGTGTTTCGGGAGGCGAGAGGCGGAGAGTGAGCATCGGCGTGCAGCTGCTCTGGAACCCGGGTGAGCAAAACCCCAACACCTTCCTCGTGCCTACCACAGACCACTTGGGGATAATGGGCAGTAAATGAAGGTAGGAGCTTTCAGGGAACAGTCAGAAACAGTGCCCCGGGGGCAGCTCAAGGAGTTCATACTCAGAACACTAAACCTGGCAGCACCCTCTGCCAGAGGTTACCTCTCCACAGCGCAGTCAGACACAGTGACTGAGTGCTGGTCCATTTGCGCAAATTGAAATCAGTGCTGATCACAGATAACGCTGAGATTATTACAGCAATAATTCGGTAAACAGAGTGGTTTTTAGCAGCTGGCCCACTTACGTTTCTGTCACCTTTGCCAATGGAAAATCGGAGGTAGGCCAGTGCAGAGCCCCCCAGGGAGCCTTCACCTACCACTCTCACCCACCCTGACAAGAAAGTTGCCTGACGTTACCCTCAGGCAGTGCTCTGGTCTGTGCATATCTCGCTTGTTTTTTATCTGACCACATGCCACAAGTTACTTTGGAAGGCTGCTGGCCTATTGTAACATGGAGATTGTTTTCCTTTCCTCTGACCCAGCCCCCATTTACATGTGCAGTATTCACAGGGAAGGTAATTTTCTTGGCTGTATATAGTCAGTCCTTGCAGTCTTGTGCAACTCACTGACGTGGCTGGCTCCCGCAGCAGGTGAACTCGAAAGTTCCATTCTCTTTAGCAGAAACAAAACATGAGGCTAAATCCACAGCTCATTTTCCAGGATTGAATCCCCTATCTGACCTTATATATATCAAAATCACTACTAACCCTGACCGAGCCTCTTGTTAAGCAAGATTTGACATCATTTTTTTCACTGGGAAGTGGATTTGAACAATTTTTGCTTGTATAGGAATATATTTTTGTGATTATGGGGAAAGCAGACGACTTTTTATTTTATAAAAGTGATGCTCAGAAATAAGTGCACTGGTACTGAAGTAAAAGACTATAATTTTTTCCTTTAAATTAAAAAATAATCAGTGACATTTCATGCACTAGCACCATTTCATTTAGAACATATTTTCCAAATCAAACATGCTGCTTTCCACAGCTAAACTTATTGTCTTTGGCAGGAATACTCATACTTGATGAACCCACATCTGGACTGGACAGTTTTACTGCACATAACCTCGTGATAACATTATCCAGACTGGCCAGGGGAAACAGATTGGTTCTTCTTTCACTTCATCAGCCTCGGTCAGATATCTTCCAACTGTTTGACTTAGTTCTTCTGATGACTTCTGGACTCACTGCCTATTGTGGAACAGCTAGAGACATGGTCCAGTATTTCACAGAACTAGGCTATCCCTGCCCAAGATACAGCAATCCTGCGGATTTCTATGGTCAGTATCAAGCACTGCCATAAAAAAAAGGTTACTGGAAATTATTTGCTTTCATAAGTGTCTAGCTAACATTGATTTTTATAGACAATAACTGTCTTAGAAACGCCTTATAACTGACTCAAATCAATATTGCAGCAAGTTCTGGTTTTAATGAGATCCCTATTTCTCAGTACAGGAAATGTAAGAGAAACAAGAGGTACGGACAAAATAAATTTTTAAAAAAATCCTCCTTCTAACCCTGCCAGGTATAAAAACTCTTCCACATGTTCAGCGCACTTAACCCCATGTTTTAGCTGGTTAAAACTTTCATTCTGACTGGGAAAGACACAGATAAACTGATGAATTGCTTTATGTAGCCAGTTCTCTGACTTCTCATTCAAGAAATGTAGGAGCTAGTTTCTCCAGAGTGAGCAACAATACGGACCTGGAACAGTAAATGGGAAAGAGAAGTGCTGCCCAACAGAGCACACCAGAAGGGAGAAAAAGCTAACCCTAAAAGGCAATCCTTTTACTCCTCAAAGAAAGTTTACATGGTTTCAAATCCATTCTTCTTCTGGTTTTTTGCAACGTTGAGAAAGGGAAATTGGTCACTGTTAATCTAATGGGCAGGGATCTCTTACCAGAGGCTGGTTCAGTTGCAGCCCTTAGGTCTTTGCACTCAAGTTGGCCAGGAAACCTCATACAGACACCAGTGCTCTGGAGTAACCTCTTCAGCTCTGGAGCACAGCCAGCCTCAGTGCTCTGCAGTAACCTCTTCAGCTGTGCCTATGTGGCAGGCAAAGTCAGCTGGGCAGAGATAAACAGAAGTTGAACTCGGTGTCAAGCCCTGCAAAAAGACCTTTGTCACCATCAGGGTTCAGAGCCAAGGACAGCCTCAAGGAAGGCTTGAGCACCCCTGTAGGGGAATGGAGAGACAGTCCTGCAGAAACTTGTAGCTGCTGCCTGTGGTTACAAACGCCTGTGACATGGAGGTAGGGAGGCATGAGAGGGAGGAGGGAGATCTTTTAGCAGGATGCAGAGTCAGCACCCATAGGAAGAGAAAAGAAATATGGGCAGCATGAAGGTGGAAATAGGACAGGGTGGCAGAGGATCCACAGGGAGAAGGAGCATGTGGTGGAAGCACACAAATGCTGGCTGTGTGTCTGGTAGAAAAACAGGAGACCATGGTAGAAGGGAAGACAGGGCAGACTGAAATAATTTCTGGTGGACTCCTGCTAAGGAGTGGCTGAACAGAGATGATCAGCCCAATGCAAGGAATCAGGAAGTGTGCAGCAATAGCTCTCTCAGAAACCATCTGCAAAACATCCAGTACTGTCACTCTACACTGAAGGTCAACATGGGAAAATATTAATATAAGTTTAGATTTTTTTTTAAAAATCATTTTGTTAAGTAAAAAACCAATGCTAAGTCTCTACTGTCTCTCTGACTATATTGTCCTTACATAATACTCCTTTTGGATTTTTTCAGTATCCGGTAAAGTTTATGGCACCTCCATAAGATACAAATAAGATGATAACTGTAATTTTGGAGATGAAGAAAGAAACATGTGATTTAAGTCAAAGTCACATAAAAGATTGTAAATACCCACATGCCAGGAAGGAAAGTCAAATGGTTTTTTTTTCTCAGCACTCCTCTCAAGGCACTATGAAATTTTGACAAATCTGAAATAGAGTTTATAATATTATAATAAGCAATTACGTCATCTCTCAGTGATTCATTAAATGACGGGGTAAGAAACATACACATGAACAATCCGTTCATCTCTAACTCCCTAAAGTAACTAATAAAGTTTTAAGCACATCATAAAGTTATCACTTCTATAGCATATGGACTTACATCAAGTAATGTCTTGCAGTTGATTTGACCAGTATCGATAAACAAACTGCAGAAAAGGAGATGGAAAGCCGAAAAAGAGCAAATACCCTTGCCAACTTGTTCCTAGAAAAAGTCAAACATTTTGATGATTTCTTATGGAAAGTTACTGAAAAAGACAACGTTGCAACCACAGTTGGCCAGCAGAGGTAAAGAAAAGAGTGTCATACAGAGGATCTGAAACAACAGCTAACAGCTTGTACTAATTTCAATTTTTTTTTTTCTCTTTTTCTTTTGGACAGGTCCCATTTAAATTCAGAGGAGGCTATCAACATGCCTCACCATTCCAGTGATCAGTTACCAGGAGCCTTAAAGCAGTTCACTGTATTATTAAGGTAAACTTATCTTCAGCATAAACAGTTATGTATCGTGCCCATTTGTATTCTAAATCGTAAGAAAGAAGCACAAAACGTCCCACATCCACTGCCTTCCTTCAAGCTGTCAGCATTTCAGACCTGAAATACTCAGTGGCTACCGATGGTTCATAGCTTTGATGAGGGAAAAGCCTTTACAGAAAGAGGCAGCCCAACTTCCATCACAGTCAAAGTCAGCAAGTTCCATTAATTGATTTTAACAGTGTTTGGGGCAATGTCTCTGAACGTGACTGGCATTATTAAATTCTATATCTTACGGTCAATGTTGCTGTTTTCCTAGTCGTCAAGTCTCCAATGACTTCAGAGATCTTTCAACGTTATTAATCCATGGATTTGAGGCCCTTCTTATGTCATTATTAATTGGATTTTTGTACTATGGCCACGACAAAGATGGACTCTCTATTCGTGACACAACAGCACTGCTGTACATGATAGGTGCCCTAATCCCCTTCACAATAATTTTGGATGTTATAGCCAAATGTAAGTGTCAGTTTTCTTGTAAACATTATAAGCAATCAAAATCAGAAGATTCCTAAATTAATGAAAAAATTAAACTTATTAATACAACCCAAGGTCTAAAACAATCTATTTTTTTCCTCTTCTGCAGGCCATTCAGAAAGAGCAATGCTTTATCATGACTTGGAAGGTGGAATGTACTCTGTCAGCCCATACTTCTTTGCTAAGGTAATTGGTTTTATTGCCAGGAAATACAAACAGCTGCCTTGAACATTGAAAAAAACACAAGCAAATCAAAGACTTGTTGTATAAACAATCACATTCATATCAGATGTTGTTCTTTTGTGTCTGCCAGCTAAGGCTATCGTTCTTGCTTCCTTGGCATTAATAGATTAAACCTCACACTACTTTAGATCTGTTGCCATAAGTCATGGCTGAGATCCCACACCAGAGAAGCCAAAGAAGAACCTTTCGATGGGCTGTTTGGCCAAAATTTAAGAAATCTCAAACTCAAATTTGGGGGTTTAGGCAATTTTATGTACCTGTATAATTCACTGAAGCACCTCTGAAAGTTTGCTTACTGCAAAACAAAATATTTGCATCAAAAGCTAAAGCAAAGGTAAAACAGAAATTACAAACTCTGATGTTTCCAGTTGTTGTTTCGGCCTGTGCTGGTCAGAGATAAAAGAACTGTATTAAGTGCATAAAGAGCCAGAGTTTCTGGAATTAAATTTAGAACTTTTTTAAAGAAATTACATTCTCTTTTTCACGAGGGTTTAGAATAATCTCTTCTTTGTGATGTTGCCTCTGTTAGATGAGTTCTGCCTGCCATGGCATCTGTAATTTAGGTTTCCATTTCTGCACAAGATTTTAAATGCTTATTAGTAGTTGCCAGAGAAAAATATTCTTTGCATTGTGTCACAAAGATTGCACATTATTCACAGAGAAATCGATGTAATTTGTTACAACCTTAGTATTACAGGATAGTAGCAACCCTCTTAGGAAGAACTAATGCTCTCCATAGACTCTTCAGATATTTGAGAAAATCCTATTTATGCCTTTATTTTACATTAAATTAAGCTGCTAACTGGAATGCCTTTGGGACAAGGTGGGGAATGGACCAACAGCCAAATTTGTCTCAAATTTGATCTCACACTAGGTTCAACCAAATTGGGACAAAACATACAGTAGGCATGAGTCAGTCACGGTATTGCTGTTAACAAGCACACCAGTTCTCAGGGAAAGCCTCTTAAATTCTTAGAAACTGCCCAAACTGTAACAAAACAAGACCTCTAACCTAAAACAAGAGTCCTCTCCATTTAACAATAAGTTACAAGCAATGTCACAACTGGAGAAAAAATTAGCGTGGATTTCAGTTTCTGCTGCAGATTGGTCTTGCATGTCACTAACAACCCCTAACAGGGAGAGGATTGCGTTCTAAGGGAGTATTTCCTGTAGTTTTTATAAGAAGTCCGTAAGTACATTAAGGCAAATCTCATGTGGTTTTGTAATTATCATTCAACTCATTCTCTTTTTTTATTTAATTTTTTTTTCCTTCTCCCTGAACAGATTTTGGGGGAGCTCCCAGAACACTGTGTTTTTGTTATAATTTATGGGGTTCCCATCTACTGGCTGGCAAACCTCATTCCTGAACCAGTGCATTTCTTGCTGAACTTCCTCTCGGTGTGGCTGGCTGTGTACAGTGCCCGTGCCATGGCACTCTGGGTGGCGGCGCTGCTGCCGACCTTGCAGCTCTCAGCCTTCCTTGGGAACGTCCTTTTCACATCCTTCTACCTGAGTGGTGGTTTTGTGATAAGCCTGGAAAATCTCTGGACAGGTGAGACGAATTTCCCACCATCCCTCCAAACCGAAACCTCAGGGGCTTTCATCAGTGACTAGTTGTTGTGATGCTGCAGAGTGTATCCTGTGCAGGAAAACTCAGCTTTACTCTTACCTTTGCAATTATCTTCTTGGATGGTGACAGTGGAGTCAGATAATTCATTCCATCTGAAAATGAGGGAACAGGAAGTTTGGTCAAAAAAGCACTAGTGAAAGGTTTGATTCTTACGTGGTTGCCAAACTTTTCAGTAAAAAGAATTGCATTCAAAAGATGAAGATGGAGCTCCAGGAAGACTTAGCTGACAGTAGGAGTTTGATGGATATGGATATTATCTCACTCCTCACTTCCCATCTCCATGTAACAACATAAAGTATATCTGCTATTTTGTCCAATAATAAACTCCTACATGTTTACAGTCTCTGGCTGTCAAGAAATGAGACAAACCTGCTGTATTTGGCAGCAGCACAGCAGTTTTTGAGGTCTCAAGTTTTGTGTATGTGTATCCATTTCTTTCATTCTGTTTGTGTTGTGTTTTTTTTTTCTTCTTTTTTTCAGTTCCTTTTTGGGTTTCTAAAATCTCTTTCCTCAGATGGAATTTTCAAGGAATGATGCAAATTCAGTTCACTGACCACATATATGAAATGACTGTTGGAAACACTACTTTTAAAATACCAGGGAAATTTGTAAGTCAGTTACAAAAATTGTTACAATCATTTGATAACCAGGTGGAATGCTATTTATATGCCTGTCATATTTAAATGGCATTTAAATGTTGTAGGTCCCAAATTTGGCAAGTGCCAAATCAGTGCATGAAGTCGTGTTACACTTGGTATATTGTAAGTTTGTCCTTAAAGATGTCCCTATAGCAGTCACTCACATGCCTTTCTTTTAGTGGAAGGGAAAAAAATAAGGAAAAAAAAAAAGGCAAATAATCGTGGGCCACTATTTTCTACACAAGCCCCAACTATGCACTTGCTGAAATTGTTCAGAAGCTGAACTGTGCTCCTCTGAAATAGGAATAGGGTAGCTGCCACCTGCTACCAAAACACCCCAAAAGCTACACCCAGCTGGAAACCAAGGGGAAAGATGGCATGGGCCAGGGGAGCTCACATGAAAAACGCACTTCACAGATTCAGCACAAAAATTTTGTGCCTTTTCCCAATTTTGTGTTATTGGTCATTACAGATCATTCACTCTCTGGGCATGGACTCCCATCCTCTCTACGTGAGCTACCTCGTCCTCACTGGTATCATTTGCAGCTTCCTGCTTTTATACTATTTATCTCTGCGCTTCATCAAGCAGAAGTCAACCCAAGACTGGTAACAGCAGAGGCGGCAGCAGGTGACCGCGTCCCTTGCAGGAAGGCAGGGGAAGAACGAGCCCAATTTTGGTTCCCCCCCCTCCCCGCCCCGGGAAGAGGCGGGCGGCGGCAGCGCGGCTGCCACAGGATGGCAGCAGAACCCCAGGAGTCGGGACTGCGGCTTCAGCCTGGGCTGGGGGTTTGGGGTGGGCTTTGGGCTTTTTTGTTCGCTTGATACACGGTTTTCACAGGTGACGAGGCACTTGTGAGTTCTCCACACCCGGGTATGTTCTGAGCTACAGGCCACCGATTTTTAAGGACCCGTTGCACATGGTAATAGCTGATGTTTTAGTACATAATGTTTGAACATATAGTGATCACGTACTTAATTCAGAGAACTGCGAGAGAAGAGGATCAGAACACTACTTTCTGTGGCATGTATGACATTCAGCACTCACGAACACAGCGCAGAGGAAAGCAACACAGAAGATTTCACAGCTGCTTCAGGAGAACATGCGCAAGGATTGAAAATACAACTGTTAACTACTCTGTGTTGTTTCTAATTGCTTATGTATTTTAAAACTTTGCCTTTGTGTTCCGCTTAGATGCTGATGATGCCCAAAATGGGTATTTGCTCACTGCAGAGATGATAACAATAAAATTATCTCACCTTCTTGGGTTTATTTTTACAGTATAAATACATACTAATTGATTGTTATTAACGACATCTTTCTCCACGGCAGTACAAATCATAGCAATTCACCAAGTTTGCTTCCTAAGGTTCTCAGGTAGAAAACACCAACCTGCCCCTGAGTAATTAAAAATCTAACAATGCAATCTATTAAATGCTTGCAATTGTGCACCTAGTTATGCTCACAGAAAATGAGTATCAGTAAATAAATGGCCGTAGTTCACACACAGTCATGGTAAGTGCATGTACACATTAGGTGTACAGTTGCTGCGAGCACTTTATAAGATTAGCTTCCTGCTTTTAAATGTTTAGATGCATATCTCTGTTCTTATATACAGAAACCCAAAGCAAATCGACCACTTGACTTTCATTTACATGTTGCTCACAGTGGAAAACTCCTCCTGTAATCGGCTATAATGCCCCAGATACTGTTACGTAAATCCCAAGGCTTGGTTTGGCTTTTTTTAAAGAATTAAGAATGAAAGATCATCCATATTTTATTATTCAGTTTGGCAGTCAGGACTGCCACATTACTTTCCACAGATTCCATGAGGTAATATATTCCCAGGAAGACCTTGTTCTAAAGGTATTAAGCAGGTCTGATAAAGTAAGATCTTCAGCCCTAGGCAGTAGTAGGAATCCAAAACACTCCAAGGTTCTTCTAGGGCGAATTCTACCATATCTTTCTGGTTCTGCTGCATTTGATTTCAAAAAAACCCATTTGATCTGATCTCAGTGCCATTTTGAAATTATCAGATTTTCACTGCCTTTTAATGGCAAAGCCAATTCTTTCAGTCCAATTCAGCATCATTAAATTGTCAGAATAGCAGCTTCCTATTTGATTCTTAATTATTCCTTTTTATTATATTTAAGACACTTTTTTTTCTTTAAATGGTTTACTCTTCTTTGTAATGATCTGTTGTGATTAGAATCTCTTTTATATTACACTGAAGTTTTAAGGGTATATATTGGTACTTCTAGTCTAAACCTCTATTTTCAAGGTATTTAGAGGATTAAATTCTAGGCTGACTCTCTGTTGTGAATTCACCTTGATGTTTAATAAAAAAAAAGGAGAGACACAATGGGAGAAATTAAAGACATAAGGGACAGCTCTGAATTTTAGGGGCATATTGTCATGCACAGAAATCTTCAGGCATCTAGATAAGAATATACCATAGCCTTAACTTTGAATTTCCTTCCTTTTGTGAAATTAGTCAGGCTGCTGACATTACTTAAACAGCCTTTTTCAATTTAAAATTCCACCCTCTTAACATTATGCAGCAGGACCAAACGGTGTGAGTATTTCAGAGGTGGTGTTATGACAAGGGTAGATGTATACATAATGGGGACTTGAGCAGTGAGCCGGGGAACAGCCAGCGCGTGGAGTGGAGGAAGAGCTATCATAGGAGGTGGCCAGGCCTCTGTTTACATAGAAAAAGCTCATATTCTATATACTACAATTACATTAGCACACTGCCTGTGATCATATCTTGTTTCCTTGATGCCGAGAGATGGGGAATATAGGCTGTGATTATTGTTACAGGCTTTAGCAATAAGAAGGTAGGAGCCTTGAAATACCAGCAATTAGCGTTCACGCCTAACAATAGCATTCTGTGGGGCTGTGTACGGAGAGGAGCACAGGGAAGAGTGGGTGGATGACACACAACCTGCCCCACTCGCGCTACCAGGAGTTGCAGTAGTGCAGGTTTAGGGAATTATGCACCTCTCAGCCAGTGAAGCTCATGCTGGATGCTCTGGCCACTGCTCACACTTCCAGAGTGGAGCTGCTGCTGCTGCAAAATCAAACGGTCAGCGAGGCAACAGAAACCTTCCCATGAGTTCTAATCAAGTGTGCTGCTTTCAGCTGGGGTAGAGTTAATTTTCTTCACAGTGGCTGGTATGAAGCTGTGTTTGGGATTTGTGCTGTACACAGGATTGATAAGATAGAGATGTTTCTGTTATTGCTGAGCTGGGCTTACACAGAGCCAAGGCCTTTTCTGCTTTTCGTACTGACATGCTGGCAAGGAAGCTGGGGGTGCATGAGAGCGTGGAAGGAGACACAGGCAGGAGAGGTGACCTGAACTGACCCTAAGAGTATTCCATACCATATGACATCATGCTCAGTATATAAAGCTGGAGGAAAGAAGGAGGAAGTGAGGGCATTTTGTCTTCCCAGGTAACCATTACACATGATGGGGCCCTGCTCCCGTGTAGACGGCTGAACACCTGCCTGCCTATGGGAAACAGCAAATTAATTCTTTTGCTTTGCTTGTGTACATGGCTTTTGCTTTTCTTATTAAACTGTCATTATCTCAACCCATGAGTTTTCTGGCTTTTGCGCTTCCAATTCTCCCCCCAGTCCTGCTGGTGGGGAAGTGAGCCAGCGGCTGCATGGTGCTTGGCTACTGGCTGGAGTTAAACCACAACACCAAGGCTAAAAGTCATCACTGAATTTCAGCACAACTTTGCTCTCCAGGTTTCAGAGTAGCCGTTCTTTTTCCTCTGACTGGCCTGTATCAGCAGCAGCTCGCTGTGCCCTCCTGTCTGCACTACCTGTACCAATGTAACCAGAGTTGCTGCAGTCCATAACAATCTCAACAGTACAGAACACAAGGAAGACGCTGCCCAAAACTCACTGTACTGCCTGTTCCACACACAACATTCAGTTTGTTACCAACTCTAGCAATGTGGTTGAGGCAGATATGCCACTCGAGCAGAGCACTGCCCGCTAGCCCAACAATGCCACCATCCCAAGGATTCACCCACTGCTATCTTTGCTCTCCCTGACCTCTTCAGAAAGGATCTCTATCCTCCCTGACCAGCTTCAGAAAGGATCTCCTCAGCTGTAAGTCATGGTCTCCTGCAGGCAAGTCAGTGTAAAACTGGTTTTGAAATGGCACCACGTTTAATTGGTCACACGGTTTCCAGGTTGTTTTGTCCAGCTACTGTTTGAACTGCCCAGGGCACAACAAAACTGCAACAGGCTATGGGGCTTCCAGTCTGCAGACGTGTCAGAGTGGGGAGAGGGATTATCAAATATAAGCAAAAATAGTATTTGTAAGGAAAATTCACCAAATTTAAAACCAAAAAAAAATTCCTGATTACATAAATACTATAAAGTACTGTCTGGACAACAGAACTGTGTGTTGTTACAATACCTCTAGAGGAGGTATCCGATCTGTAAAGGAGCAGGTAAGACAAATTTGTCATTATTACTTAAGTATTTAATATACAGGCAGAGGCAGGAAGATCTTCCCCAGTTTCCCCTCCAAGTTTATGCAGTCTCTCCACTTGGCAAATGAGCAAACTTTTTCAGCACTGGAAAATGGATTACAGAAACACTGCTCTACATATTGGCTTGTGGGTAGTGGCAGTCCTCCAAAATACTTTTAACTCGTCCTTGGGAAAGGATTAGCTTTCATTATGGTTAAGCTAAATTAATAAGTAGCTGTTTCGTCCCATATTTGTTGATTGCAAAATCCGTTGAGAAATGCTAAATAAGTAACAAGTATCAATAGCCATTCCTTTCAGTAACACTCCATGAAATTCCTTTAAAAATAAATCACAGACAATACAGTATACATGGAGATCCTTTGGGTAACAAATCGCAGGTGTTGGTATGTCCACTTGTACCAGAAATAACAAACCTTTCAGGTTTTTAGCCATAATGATTAATTTTAATGGCAGTAGACAAGAAATAGTGTACACAGAGCTCTGTGACATGCTGCCTTTTTTTTTTTTTTTTTCTTAATACTCGGAGAGCCAAGACAAGCCCTTCATATGTTAGCAGCTATTAATTAAGGCAACAATGTTTAAGCAGTGGGTTGAGGTAATTTTAAAACCGCTTAACCCTTTTAAGAACTGACGAGCTTCAGAAAGCATATATATGAGTTTGTGCTCACATTAATACGTAGATGTAGAGGTATCTGCATGAATGGATTACATACATATGTATATACACACACAACTAATGCCTATGATTGCTTTTATTTTTTTTTTTTAGGGAATATTTAAAAAGCAATTCAGATCCATAATTTATAGAAGTGCTGTTGCCAATTTATATAATTAATTATAAAACTGTTTGCTGACACTTATTTTGTCATTAAATCAAACTTAAAGGTTATTTTGAATTGCAAATTTTGTTGGCATTACTTTGCTTTCATGGTCACAATTAGATACTTATAATGTTTCCAGTGCTAAAAAACTGCAACTTTAACCCTTCAATCCTCACACCATGGCTCCCAAATCAGTTTCTTCCATCAACAACATATTTGTACCTTTTGCTCCTCTTTAAGAACTTGATCAGATTTTGCTAAGATTCCCAGCATATCTCAGTACTGTATCTGCCCAACACAACATTTTTTCATGTCTAACAAGTGGGTTTAGAGGCACAAATGTTAAGGTACTGGCCAGATCAACATGGTGAGTAAACAAGCAATGCCACTAGCCTCAAAAAAAAAAAAAACAACAATCTGTATTTTGTAAACAAGCAAATTAACCCAAATTTTCAAGCAAATTCAGAGGAATTAGAAATCTATGAACATTTGCTAATTGTCAAAACCCAAATGCACAGAACAGGAAATTTTCAATAAACTCTCAGTGCCTTGCAACAATACACAACTGTACGAGGTAACAGGTAACATCACCAGCCTTCAAGACAGTACCTTTGCTCACTTTCATTTACTGGGGACTGGGGGAAGAGTTTAAAAAAACAACAACAAAAACTTCTTGAAAATAAAAAAATCCTTCATGTTCTACTGAGAAAGTCAGAAGAAAAATCCCCCAACAGCATAGCCCCCACTCCTTATGCCTGTGTAGCCTCCCCCAGCAGCTCCAGCCTGACACAAGTAAATGTTGTCCTTCTCACGATTCAAGTCACGATGTTGAGAAGACTGCCCTAAAAGGACTGAGTATTATTCCTAACAAACACCCCAAATCTTCTACGACTCCTAGTTAAAAATAGCTAATCGCTTTGTGGCAGT